CCTAAATCCCTTGGTTTTAAAAATCTTCTATTAGAGGATATCTGCTTTCCCTCTCCTACTCAAAGTACTGCAGCACTCAGCTGCCTCCAGAGATATTTCACCTCCCTCTCCTTGTTAGTTCAGCCATTCTTCTCCTCCAGGGCTTGTCCAGACTTGGCACAAAGGTGCTAACACGCTTGTACTGACACATTTCCAAATGAAAGATGACATATTTTCAACTGAGCAGCTTTATCTTTTCCTGCTAACACCTGCTAAAAAGCAGTTCCTTCTGTCCACACTGGGATTTGAAAACCTGCTTGTTCAAATATTTTAGCTGACACATTTCAGAAATGCTCTTTTTGTTGCCATCAGACTAGGCAGTGCACTGTGGGCTGTGTTCTGTCCCCACCTGGGAGTGAGGCTCACAGCAAGGCCTGGCTGATTTGAATAGTGCAGGATCCGGTTCAAAAAGAGTAAAGAGCCCTGTTTGCTTTCACTTAGCATCCGGGCTGGCGTGGGAGAGGAAAGCCTCATGAGCAAGGCCCTTAGCTGCAAACACCAATCTCCTGCAATTTAACACCTCTTTCAGCTGAGCTTCCAAATGAAAACAATTTGACCTCTACCTTCCTTTTCTACTCCTTTCAGATGGTGTTTTCAGCTTTGACTCATTTCTTCTTGCCCATCTAAGAGTATCTAAACTTAATCAGAAATATGATTATTTCTTTATTTTCAAAGAAACTGGCATCAGGTATCTCTGGCAAAGTGCACTGCCTCCCAAGCCAATTGGAGTGAGCTCCTTCCTCCTGCTTTGTGAGTCAGGTCAGGTCAGGATTACCTGAGGTCTCATCCCAAAAATCCACCAACCTCATCCACACATGGAACTACTCCTGTAAGTAAAGGAAGAGCTGTGGGAGTGATGACTGCAGGGCCAGGCTCAGGAATTCCAGGCCTTTGGGGTAGAGAATCATAGTTCACTATTTTCTTCACTATTCACACAGGAGCCAACCAGCAGAATGGCTCTGCTAACAAAAGGTATGAGTTAAGGCTCAGTAGTGATGTTCTGTCTGGGCTGAATATCCCTGACTGAGCTCACTGTCAGCACCTCAGGGGATCATGTTTTATGTAGCAGGTCCCTTCTTGGGAATAAGGAACTGCCCAATGTGGAGGAGATTGGCAAAATCCTGCCATTAGTTTAGGAAATGAACAACAAGGCCTTCCACTACTCCTCACAATGCATAAGGAATGTAAAATATCCTGGATTCTGGGTCCAAAAATTTAGGCAGGGCTATGTCAAGATATATTTCAGGGAAAAATCTGGTAGAACCATGTGCAGTCTCTCAGATTTAGCAAAAACCACCTCTTGCCTTGTCCCCATCCAGACCATGCCCAAACCCACATCTCTCCAGGCCTTGCTTTGCCAGCCTGGAGCTCCACAGCACCTTCTTTGGTGGGAGCTCTGCTGAAGATGGAAGCCTGTGCTGGGAGGGGAGCACAGCCAACGGGAAGTCATAGAGCCACAGAACCTTGGAATGGCTTGGGCTGGAAGGGCCTTAAAGCTTGTCTTGTTCTAACCCACCTGCATAGGCAGGGACACTTTCTTCAGACCTGGCTGCTCAGAGCCTCATCCAATCTGACCTTGAACTCTTCCAGGAATGGGGGTTTCCCAGGTCTCAGGGGTGGTGATGGATAGATGGGTGGTGGGGCCAGGTGGGGTTAGTTGTTTCTTATCACTGCCAAGAGACAAGAAACCTGGTGAACATTCCTTCCCAAAGGCCATGCTTTGTATCCATGTGTTTGGTGGTGGAATAAAAAACATTCACTGTGTATAATCCAGAAAAAAAGGCTTTGCTTCCAGATATATTTCCTTGAAGATATTAGTGTCCAATAGCATTAACAGGGAAAAGAGTGAGGGAAAAAAATCCTCTCTAATTACAATTGCAGTGAGGATTGACTGGCATTGGCTGGGTTCATTGGTTTTCTAACATTGTCCCCTACAGCTACTGATGTAAGCAGATAACTCTGTTTGTTTCAGCTTTTATAGCTTCAAAGACAGTTTTCATTTTGCATAGGAGGAGGATTGAACTGTTTTAGAGTGGTGTCCTAAAATGGAATTTTTAAATATTACCGGGTTTGGGTCAAGAAGTTCATTAAAAAGAAATCTACACCATATCATTACATTCCTCTAAGATATTAATTCCTCCAGCTTCCAGAGAATGCAAATCCCCCAAATACATTGTCAAACCCAAATGTCTTCACAGGATGGCTGTACTATGATGTGGTGACACATTTTGAGAAAATGAAGATTTTCAGGGTGTTTCCCTTGCTGCCTTGAAGTCCTCTGTACACAACATTTGAAATCTCACATCACAAACCTCTATTTCTAACAAATTAATCCATGGCTCCGCAATTCCAGTAAAAATCCTTGGGTACATCCCCTCACTAATCCTCATTAAGAAACAGAGCTTCATCTTCTAAATATATATGTAAGGTTGTAAGTCTACTTTAGCCATTAAAAGCAGATCTATTCACAGAACAGATGCTTTTTCCAAACAGATTAATCTTAGGGGGACGATTGTGCTCAAGTCAATGGAGCTAAGCCAGTTTGCCCCCATAGGCCCCTGTTTTAAAATGAAGTGATGATAACGGGTGACACAAATGATAATTGCCTGATGATTTTCCTTGCCCTGAGCTCACTGGTGGCTCTGTGTGTTTTGTGATCAAAGAGAGGCGTGGATGGGAGTGCTCTGCTGCTCCTCACGTACGTTCCTCTCGCGGTTCCTGTGTTGGTCGGTTTGCTGTGGATGCACCTTTGACTATTCACACGTCATTTCAGAGCTGGATGTAACTACCAGTTTTTATTTGATGTGAGAAGGAGCAGCAACCACGGTGCTTGGATGCAAAAGGCACTGTTTGTTTTGTGATGCTCACAGGGATTCCTGTTTTGCAGCTATGATGTGCATATTTCATTGCTGTGTAGACAGCTCCTGTCAATTATCGTGAATTATGGCTCCAGAAGCGTTCATTCACCATAAACCTGCACTACATTAACTCCTGAGTTCCAACCCCTGCCAGTGGCAAACTCATTGCAATGCAGATAGAAATCATTTAGAAACTTATGACTGGAAAGACTTTTCTCTTATGGGACTGCTGTTTCTAATGCTGGGGGAGGATTTCTGATGTCTCTTGGGGTCACTTTGCATATCAGATTCAGGCTGCAAGCTCCTCCTGAAGCATGTGGCTTCTTGCCTCCTATTCTGTTCCCAGCTAGAGGGGGAAAATCCCTGCCCCTGGCATGGCAATAGTGGCACAAGCTGGTAAACTTACCCTATCCATGTGCATGGAGAACAGCTGAAGGAAGAGGAGAGCTCCTCCCAGCAGAGCCCAGGATCCCCTCACAGGAGAGCCCAAGAGTCCATCCAAGGACAATCCAAGAGCTCATTTAGGACAAATCCCCAGCTTTCTCTTCTTCTTCCCCCACCTCTGCCCCAGGCTGTGTGGTTTCCTGGCCCTTCCTGAGCTCTGGGGCTTGCCAGAGCCCAGCAGGCTCTTTGAGAGGTAGATTAGTCTCCTGCTAGTCAAGTGCATTGAATAAGATCATGGAATAGTCTGTGTGTGACTAGGAGGTGGGAGATGGGATAAGGGGCTTTGTGAAGCCCCAGGGTTCCAAAGATCATGAGTTAAATTGGCTTTGTCTTCTGACATTGAAGGCTGGGAGCTCTGGTCTCTTGAGAACGCTAAAGACCTCTTGGTAACATTTGATACCTGTCAGGGGGGAAAAGATCTTGCAGGTGTAAACAAGAGTAAATCTTAGAGAGCAAAGGGAGATGATTGCCTGCAGGGGCTATATCCATGCAGTAACTCAGCTTGTGTCTTTTAATAGCAAGGAATGCAGGGTTTGCTTATGTTTACAAGCAGGAAGAGTGGAGAGAACTCTTTCTTTTTTGGGTCCACAGACTGGATGCCACCTGTAGGTATTTAGGCAGTGTGCTCAGGCACTCAGCTGTGGAGGACACATGGATTTCAGGTGGGGGTTCTGAAGTGGAGCTCAGCTGAGCTGCCATCTCCACTCTACTGCAGGCCCTTTTAGAGTTTTTGGTCCTTTACTAAATCTTGCCCGTGTTTCAATTACCACCTTTGAAACTAAGGCAAGGGAAAGCACTGATCCAGGCATATCTTTGCAGTGCACAGATCCTCTGTTTAGGGGATCCATGAAAGCACCTGGGCTAGAAGGTAAAGCAAAAGTTGAAATGCTGGTTAGAAATTTCTCCTGACTGTGAGGAAAAGGTAACTTCTGCTACATGGCTTTTCTGGATGTTGGCCCAAGTTCTTTGCAACATCATCTCTCTGGCTTTTCTCAATCCAGGACAAATCTTTCTGAATCTGATCTTTTTGCTCCTATGTTTGCTTTTCTTGTAGAGTTTTTCTAGGCAGCTGAGTAAGACTCAGTCAGCCAGAGGAGCCACACCAGCTGCTCCATACCACTATGTCAGTGCAGAGCAAACCAGAAAAACTGGCTAAGCTGCTAAGGGAGAGAGCTTCCATGGGCTGGGGAATCCTCTGGTGGGGCAGAGTCAGTGCAGAACAATTCCCTCTGCCAGCACGTGGACTGGATTACAGATGGGTAAAGAGCCAGTAATGCCTTTATCCCAATGTGTGACAGGTGAGCTCGTGTAGGTGGAGCTCAGGTGATGACAGGAACCTTCAGAGACCTTGGATGGTGGCGTGTGTGTTGAGTGAGTTGGCCTTGCCATAGTCTGTAGCTCACCAAGTGAAGCCCAGATGGATTTGATGCTCACAGGTCAGTCCTCCAGTGCTGCTCTGATGCTGCTGTGCTGACTGACCTCTGCTGAAGAATAATTTCCTTGCTGCAATAAAGCACTCTTGTAACTTTTACATCTCCCAGGTGGGTTACAGAGTGGGTGTGTGTAATTTGCACCTCACAGGTGCTCTTCACTAGGTGTGTGGAGGGAATAAGGAGCAGCTTGAGGAAACATCTTACAGACACAGCAAGGTTTGTTAGCTCCTTCTGACCAAGCAACTATTCCTGAGCGTGTTGCTTCTCCTGATCAAGCAACTATTCCTGAATCACTGCATCATTTGCACCTCATCTATTGCCTGCTTGCACAGGTAGAGTGCCTGTAACCCCTGGAGAGGGAGCCTGTGCTTCTCAAGTGAGTAACATGAGACAGCATTTGCCACTGAAACCTTTACAGCATCAGCTTTGGGGAAGCAGTTAGATGGGCACTGGGGTGCACACAGCTACCCCCAGGTCTGGGAAGTGCACAGGGAGGAGAGTCATGGCTGTGGCACATGCACAGGCACAGCCTGCTCTGGTGTCCAATAAGCCCTTTGTAGGGAGTGTGCATTGCTAATTTATCTGGTAAACAGACTCTAGAAACTCCCAAGATGGACTGGACATCCCAGCAATGCCTAATTCTGTGGAATTTTGCTGGAACTGTGCAGAACTCCTGTTGATGCTGGTGCCCTTGCATAGAATTGCCCTGGCTGAGAGAAGCTCCTACTGAGGTGGGTGTTGAGCCAGCCCACACATTTAAAACCTCAAAAAGGTTTTCATTTTCTCAGTGGCCACCAAAACTGGTTCCTTTGCTATAGCTTGTCTGTTGTGGGAGACTGGCTTGTGTTGGAAAGGATATTATCTGACATGCCTTTGCTAGCACCATGTTAAGTGCTGCTTTGCCCAGCTGTCCTTGCTGCTGCCAAAGGCAAAGTAAGATTGAATATTGTGGTGGTGTTGATCTAATCATGCTAACGAATATATTTGCTAAGATGAACTTTTCCAAGATGAACTTTTCCACTGTAGACATAATCTGTGTTTCCAGACAAGTTAAAGAGTACATAAATGATTTATCTCTAGCTGGTGTCTGTGCTCATTGTGGTTGTAACTACCAGCTGCTTTTACAGAGATGTTTCTTAGAGAGGAGAGCATTGGCCCATATACCTCAACAGACTTGCTGGTGGGAAAGGAGGGGGAACTTGGAGAAAAACTTACTGCTCCCTCAATTTCTTTTCCACCTTCAGGGCAGGTCAGATACAGGCACAATGAAGATGGTGAAAGTCACTGTAGGCACAAAGGAGCTGAGAATGAAGTGTGTTCTTGACTTTTCATTGCTGGTTTTTGCTGGCCTGACCCTGTGCAGTGCATACACTTCTAAGGAATTTGGTAAATCTTCTATCTTGTACCAGGAAAGTGGGTTTTGAAAATTGTTTCACCTAACTCTGAGGCCAAGACATGCACAAGGCCTGCTAATTTATCTGGAATTTGGGAGCAGTTATCACTTGGTCAGCCCAGTTCATGGCTGAAATATTAGCATTCCCCAGGATGGAGAAGTTGTGGCTGCTCCATCCCTGGAAGTGTTCAAGGTCAGGTTGGATGGAGCTGTGAGCAGTCCAACCTCATGAATGGCATCCCTGGCTGTGGCAAAGGGGTTTGGAACTAGGTGGTCCTTAAGGTCTCTTCCAACCCAACCTATTATGGGATTCTGTGATTGCCACTCTGGTACTAGGGATGCCAGAGAGGTCCATGTGTAACTGCCCATTTAATCTTACAGCGATATTGAGAATTTTATTAAGCATGACAGAGGTGGCGCTTACAACCTATTATGGGATTCTGTGATTGCCACTCTGGTACTAGGGATGCCAGAGAGGCCCATTTAATCTTACAGAGATATTAAGAATTTTATTAAGAATGATAGAGACAAAGCTTGAACTGGATTCAAACAACTCAGAAACAGTTGTTCACTCTTAACTTTCTCCTGCAAGCCAGAGTCAGCACATCTCTTCCTGTGGGAGCCACTTTGAGAGTCACAGAGGAGGTGTGGCTGAGAGTGACTGCAGGGCTTCCCTGCACACAGATGGGAGCCACTTTGAGAGTCACAGAGGAGGTGTGGCTGATGAGAGGGCTCTGAGAGTGATTGCAGGGCTTCCCTGCACACAGGGCTGTTCAGGGCAGTCCTTGTGATCACAAAGGGCCTTGCATGGCATGGTCTGGAATCTGAGGGAGCAATGCACTCACTCAGCTGCAGGCAGTCACCTGGAGCATTTTAGGAGCTGAAGATGATGAAACTGTGAGCGAGGCAGTCCAGCAAGATCTGAGGTACCTCCATCACGTATGCCTGGATGCACTAATTGGTAGGAGACTGAGGCAAATTTGAATAAAAACACAGTGCACAATTATGAGAGATTAAATCAAGCTGGATTTACCAAAGCTGTAGGAGTGAAGGGAAGAAGCACATGGCTGCAGTTTGAGTGGGTATTGCAGAAACTCCCTGACCCTGAGCATCCCACCAGAGGTAACTCTGAGTAACCAGCTGAAGGGGGCTCAAGAAATGATCCCTGAGCTTTGCTCTTGGACCAGGTGGGTCACTGCAAAGGACTAAGTAAAAGGGTTTGTAGAGATTAAGTAGAGGGGTGTGGAGGTCAGAGCCGAGTCCTGCAGAGCTTGTGTTCATTTCCTTTCTTTGGTCCTGTCTACAGCCTGAGTTTTGATGTCAGCCTGTGCCACAGCAGCCATTTAGAGGTCAGGGGTTGGGTGCCATGTGCTTAAACAAAATAGTGCTTAAAGAAACTAGTGAGACTAAACCAAGAAACCCAGAAAGGCTTTTTGTCCATGTCTGCTCAGAGACTCTTGTTTGCAGCCCCATGAGAACAGCACACAATCTCCAATCTCAAAATGAATCTCTGAAGAACAACCACCAAATCATAGAATCATTTAGGTTGAAAAAGACATTTAAGGTCATGAAGTCCAACCATTAATGCAGCCCTGCCTAGGCCACAACCAAACCATGTCCCTAAGGGCCACATCTGCACATCTTTTAAATGCCTCCAGGTTTTTAAATACCTCCAGGAATGGTGGCTGCACCACCTGTTCCTGTGCAAGAGCACAGGGCCATTTAAGAGAAGTTTAAGCAACAAAAGACATAGAGTATTAAAATATTACTCACTTTCATGGCTGAAGATTAAGTGTGAAGTACAGAAGTGACTGAAACAGCACCTCTCACAGAGGTTTTGGTGGCCAGTCACCACCACAAATCTAGAAAACTCTTCTACTTACAGCAACATCATTGTCAGAGAGAAGGAAAGAGCAAGAAGAGCATTCAGAACTGAGTCATTATCTAGTTTTGCAAGACTTACAAATATGTTAATGTTTCAAGATTGTCTTAAAAAATACTTTTATCTTAAATGTGAGTGAAGAGCAGAGCTGGTAACTGTTATCTTTGATTCCTTTCTTTGAGACCTTAGGTACTGGGATTGTGATACTACATGGTGTTTAGGTGTTGTGAAGAAAAGCTGTCAACACCTCTTGGAAAGTACTCTCCAAATTAGACAATGAAAATTTAAAAAAAAAAATTGTCCAACTAGTAGCTTAGACTGAAAAGTAATCAGAAAAGTCCTGTTTCTTTGGGCTGGAATTGTGAATGTGTGGGTCTATCAGTATAGAAAACTGCTATAAACCCCTATCCTGCATTTGTCTGGCACAGCAGTGTCTGCTGCCATGCCCATCGAACCAGGACTCCTCGTCTTCCATGGAAATTCAGTCTTTGGTGTCAGGGATGGAGTTTGGTGTCACCCCCAGGGAGTTAGGGAGAGTTGTCTTAGCTGGCCAGACGGCCCATTTCACAAAAGCCAAGGTGGAAGCCCAGCTAGAAACCTATCCCCTGGGCTCTCCCTGAGCATGGGTTCACACGGGGAAATGCAGTTCCCAGGTGCTCTACATCCACACAGTCACTCAGGCCAGCACTGACCTGGGTTAATTACAATAAATGCTCTTTGAAGCATATTGTGGAGAGGGAATTGCAGGTATTTCACCTTAACTGACTGAATTAAGCTCCTTTCCTTTTGCAAGCTGCTTTCCAAAGTACAGCAGTGTTGGTTTGCTCCTCTTCATTCTGCAGTGAGAACAATTTATGTGGAACGTGCTTTCCCTCCTGTTAAATACTTTTTTTCTTAGCATGTCAAGCGTGTACATTGCTGCCGGCAAAAAGCAACCAGACTTGTAGAAAGAAAAATTTCTGAAGAATGTGTGGGGTGTTTGGGTGGAGCACAAATGAGCAGATGTTCCCACAGAACAACAGGGTTTTATGGTGAATGAGCAGAGGTAAAGCCCTGGCTCCAGGGCAGCTGGATGTGTTAGATGTGCTCCAGTGTAAGAGCCACAGATGCAGCAGGACTGCAGGAAAAATCACTGCTGGGATGTGACTGAACCCTTGAAATGCTGTGTCTGGGTGTTCCCTGCTGAGGGAGGTTATTGGGATGGTTGGATGTGGGATTACTGGGATAATCTGTGTCCAGCTCACAGTCACCCTCAATTGACAGTGTTTGTCTTTTTGAAGCAAACTAATGTGAAGTTCAATGTCAGGCAGAAGAATGCCTGTAAGAAGTTCCAAACCTGAGCATTTGAAGGTGGGCCATCTAACTCCATGTTATTTGGAAATAGTAAAATGCCACTTCTTTGTCTTGTAATTACTTTATTTTTGTGACTGAGAGGTCAAAAATTATGAAATATGTCTTTCACCTCACCCAAGCAAGGTCAAGAAGCCCAGAATCTAATCCTCCATTCCATCCAGCGTGGTCCCTGTGCCCCAGTTCCATGGGTACTGCTGCAATGTGGTCAGATAGTGAACAAAGTTATTGCTTTAATTTGCAACTTATTGAATCTCTCAGCTCTTCTGAAAATATGTGCTTTAGCTTCAGTGTCTGTAAACTATGGTAATTAGGTGTAGAAACTCATCTTTCAAGTTTGACATCTTTGGCACCATCCTAAAAGATTACTCAGAGAAAGGAAAACCCCCTCCAGTGCCCCCACTTGTCACTGGACCCTGCCTACATCTGTGTTCCTGGGAGATGTGTTGCCAACTCACCCCATTCCTTGAGCCCTACTAAATACTCTATTAAATTTGCCAAAGTCCTTCTTTTTCAGCACCTGTAAGATGTGAAAATAGAGAATTTAATAATTAACCTAAATGTTTCTCTGATTCTCTGGTAATAATTTATTTTCTGCTGAAATTCCCGCTCTCTGCACATTAGATGCCCCACCCAAAATCTGCAGCATTTGTGCCTGAATTTCAAGGTACCTAAGATGAATGTTGTGAGCTGTGCTTCTGGAGTGTTACTGAGAGCTTGGTGATATCTAATTTCCTCTGTCTTATTTGTGTCTTGCTCATGCATGCATTCTGCACAGAAATCTGGCAAATGTTTAGCTGGACTAAATTGAGATGTTGCACCTCATCTGATATTTAATGTGAACCATTCACACCTTTGAGGCTGGAATGAAGCATCAGGTTTCAGTCACTGTAATTAGCAGTTGCTTGAAATGATAGTTAAATTCATTTTCTGAGCCAAACGTATCACTCAGATACTGAGGAAAGAAAAATAAACACAGATCAGATCAGAATTAGATTTGATCATTTGGAATTGGAATTATATGCAAAATAGGCTGGAAACTTTGAAGGGCAAAGGGATGTGGAAGCTCATCCCTTTGTAGCCACAGATTCTCAGTTCTCAGGGGATAAGAAAGTTGTGTTATAAGCCATGAGATGACTTTGCTGGCCCTGCCTGTCCTGTGCAGCTGGATCCTGAGGGATGATGTGGACTTTGTAGGGGAGTAACTGCAGGAACATTTTCAGGTGCTTTTAGAAAGGAGCTGTTGCCTTGATGTGAGTTGTGAGGAACTGTGAGAAGCATCCCATACCAGAATCACAAAACAGCCAATTCCTGAGTGAAGAATGAGGTCTCAAATTAAAGTGTTGCCGTTTTTGTTTTGCTTTTTTTCAGGATAAATACAGGTTGATTTGTCACTGAGCAACCCCAGCTATAGCATATTTCACAGGTCTTGGCTATTGCATGGAGTCACAGTGAGATGCAAAACCTCCCTGGAGCTGTTTGAAAGGCATGTGGCACTTGGGAACATGGTCTGGTGGTGGGCGCAGGGATACTGGGCTGACTGGTGGACCCAATGATCTTAAAGCTCTTTTCCATTCTCAGTGACTCTGTGATGACCAGCACTTCAATTCCAGGAGGCAGCATTGCCCCTGAGCATTCACCCCTAACTCTGCATTGCTTGACTTCTTCATTGCTCAACTTTAATGTTGCATAAACAACTGTTTTTCTGCCCTGTTCTACGTGCTCACACACGCACAGAGGCCTTGCTTCTCCAGTCCCTCCCACACAAGCAAACCTCTCTTGGCTTTGCTGGAAATTTTGCCTAACACCTGAAAGGCTGGTGTTTTACAGGGTTCCTTGAGGCTGACTGTAATAATGAGGATGTGTCTCCCTTTGGAGAGCTGCCCACTCTCCTTGGGCTCAAGCAGTTTGTACATTCTTCTCTGTTCATAAAATCCATGAGACTCACTGATCTGGGCAAGGCAAAGATGAGTTGTACCCCTGACGTGAGGATTGTGATGCATTCAGAAAAATTAACTAGCTGTTGATCGGCCAACCAAAAGTATTTTGGATTCTGCAACTTCAGAGCAACCCCTTTTGCCAGTAATTTCTTGCCCTTTTTCTACCTTGTAAAAATTTCTTAAATTCTACTTTTGAGTACAAGACTTGGAAAAGTCATGCCAACAGCACTCTGTAATGTTGCAATGAATACAGCCCTTACCTTTCTGTTTTCTGAATATCCAGTAACAGCCTCGCTTTTGCAAACTCAATTCCTGAAAATGTCATTAAAATCATTCTCAAAGAGTGAAAACTGATAGTGGGGTTTTGCATGAAATGAACTTGGTATCTGAAGGCTCTCACTGGATCAAGTGTCTTAAATTCTGTTTATTTTTTTAAAGAGAAAAAGAATGAATCATCACAAGTAAATAATAATTTGGAAAAAAAACCCCAGAGTGTGCATGTATCTCCTATGCTCTGAGACCCTTTTCATGCAAAAATCTCATCACAATTAATTAACAGTTAGGGGGCACAGATGGAGGTGGAAGGAAGTGCATCCAGAATGTTTCAGCCCATCTGAGACTTTCTCCATCTTAAGACAGAATTAGTCTTAGTGGTAAACATCAATAAAACTAGTAAGCAATACTAAAAGCATCTATTTTCCCAGTTTTTTTCCTTAGTGGTAAACATCAATAAAACTAGTAAAATAAACATCAATAATAGGGAAAGTTTATTAAAAATAAACATCAATAATACTAAAAGCATCTATTTTCCCAGATTTTTTACCTAACAACAGAACTGTTCCTGGGCTGAAATTGTATTTACAAAGCATATAGTGATATCTATATTATCTGTATATTAATTATAATGTATTTGTTAATAGCAGGAAAAAAACACTTGAAGGGAAAAGGAGAGGGATGCACACCTGGCAGAGCTCCAGGTATACCCTCCTGTCCTCTGCACAGACATTGATCTGAGCAGAAACACCAATTTTCTGCTATTATTATCCTACAGGAGATCCAGCTCCACTCATCCATCATGAACCTCTTTGCTCAGCCTGTACCAGGAGAGATGGGAGCTCCTTTGCCTTCCTCCCCTGCAGCCTGGAGCCAGCAGCTCTGTCTGGATCCTGATGTTGGTTCAGCATCAGGCTCACAAGGTGTGTTGCATTTATCTGGGTTTTTTTTGTTTTCTTTATTTTATTTTTTTTTCTGATAGTCGAGTCACTGTGCTATCCAGGTGCCAGGTATGGTGGTTTCAGAGCTTGGTAGTTGATTTGCCAAATGAAGTCCCTGGTCATCAGAGCTATATTGCATTTCTTCTCCTCTCTCTTGAGCTATTTGAAAGACGATAAAACTTGCAAAAGCATTACCTAATTTTCATGTGCTTTTGTCATATGAATATTTCCTTGGCTAGGGCTTGTGAAGGGCTTTTTGGCAGATGATTTTTATTATTTGGGTGTTTATACACCCCAGGCTGAGACAACAAGGGTTGTTCTGAGTGGAATGGCTTTTTTGAAGAGGGAGGCTCTGCATGGTCTCATCAAGATGGTGCAGGTGTTCTCCCAGAGTTTGACCATAAATGCCTTTGGGAGGTACTTGCAGAGGTTTTGCATGTGTAAGCCATAAACCTCCAGCAGGAGCATTCCATAGGAATGTATATGCTGACAAGGGCATTTCCACAAAAGCATTTTACAATGCCAGATCAAAAAAGCCTAAAATTTACCTCCTGCTTCCCTTGTGTAGGTCAGAGTTGGCTGTATGGTTTCTGTCCAAGAAAGAATATAATCAGGTATTTGCATTATCTGTATAATAAGAGCTCTGAAATGACTTTCAGACTACCAGGACTTTGACATTCTCACATGCAGGCTGTAAATGAGTGACCCTTTCTGACAGCAGCACATTCCCAGTGTGTGAACTCTGGAAAGTCACTGGAAAGGTATTTTCTTAGGAAACCATCTGACAGCTTGGAACTTTCCCTCCTTTAATGAAGATGACTCAGCTTCCCTTGTGCCCATCTCTGCTCTTCTCCCTTGGTTTCCATATTGCCTTTACCAGCTGAACATCTCAGTGCCTTTATGCTGACATGCCCAGCACTGCCTCTCAGCAGTTCCTGAGGGTTTAAGGTCCATGGTCCTGTAGTTATCACCTGCTGGGATCCCCTTGGCTGGGCCAGGTGTGTGGTGGAGGCCAGACTGCTGCTGAGGCAAGAAACTGCCATCAAACAGGAAAAGACATCCCTGGAAGATGATGTTAGGCAAAACCCCAGCACTGGCACTGGACATCCTCTGAAGCCACTGGCCAAACTGAATCAATTAGACACATCCAAGAGCTGATGCTGTCCCTCTGCTCAGCCCTCATGGAGGTGCATGAAGGCATGAATGAAATTCATGAGTGAAAATATGGTGAGCATCATCCATCCATGTAATGTCAGCATTTAAGCACAAGTTCTTCCCACGTGTCAGATGTGTGTCTGTCAGTCCAGGACAGGGAGGTGGTGGCTCTGGAACCCTGTAATGTGCAATGAGCATCTGTCAATGCTCTTTTAGTTTGCTCCTCCAGAATGGCCTCAGGCCCCATCACCTCTGGGCCTGCCATTGCCTGTGGGACAGACATGGATGTGGGACAGACAGACACTGCTGGGAGGCACAGGAGGATGGCAACAAATCCGCTGTCTCCTGCAATATGAAGAGGTTGCCTGTCAGCACTACTAAAGCAGATTTAATAGCAGGGTCTGCTTGAAAACTTCTGCAAAGTCAAGCTCATTTCTTGTTTGGGAGAAAATTGGCTTTTTCTGCCTCCTCTGTATTATTGGTGTGAAAGTGGGAAAATTGGCTGAAACCAATAAATGTCTTTTCTGCCTCGTTGAGCAGACTAGACAAGTGTCTGATGGAAGGTCAGCAGAAAGAGTAATTTCTTGACTAAGTTATTTTCTCTGCTGGGGGAAAAGATAACTTTGCTGCCCAGGAAAAACAAGGAATGATTTCTCTTGTGCTGGGTTTGGGCAGATTCTGCAGGATCTCAGCCACCACACAGAGTAACATGCCAGCTCCTGGGAAAAGTGGCAAGCTGCTGGCTGGATCCTGGTTGTCCAGGCAGCTGTTCTGGCTGTGCAGGAACACGTCAGGAGTGCATAACAGCACTTCTTCAAGGGGCTCCGTGCTGAGTCTGTGCAGGCTGTGAGCCCTAAGTTATTCTCCAAAGCTCCTTGAGGCAGCTTCATTGAAACTTGTAAGATTTAATTTGGGTTTTTTCCCCAGTTCTACCAGTCTGGCAGAGCCTTCAGGGGATGTGCTGTTTTATACTGCCTTTCTCAGCCTTTCTGCTGCCCATAGTTCTGATCCTCTCCTATTAAGAGGTTTTGCTGGTATGAGTCAAAAGTTTCACCACTCCTGCTTGTAACCTGCTCTTTAATACAGTCTGTAACATCTGGAAGTCTCTCATTACACCAACATCCATGTTGCCTTTGGCTCGGGGTTGGCTGAACCCAGAGCCAGTGCCTACCTGGCATGTGAGGCAGTGGTAACACTCCCAGCCCATCTCAGTGAGATGCAGAGGGTGCCTAGGCAGCCCCAGAGGTGAGTGTACATGATATTTAGCTAAATGCCAGCAACAAGGGCTAGGCAGGGTGTGTTATCACTGGAGAGGACATGCTGATTATCCATCTTGTTCTGCCCAGTATCAGTTTGTGCTGCCTGATTTTCTGGCCAAACATGGAGGGAGTGCACCCTGGTGTGCTGGAGGTGGGGAGATACCTTATGGTCTCCTGGTGCCACATTTCCTCTTGCTTTTACTGTTTAAATTTTGTGCCCAATGCAAATATGAATGTAGCACTGGGCTGGAAGATGCACTTGGCTTTGTCCCTTATTTCTGCTCTCTTCTCCCCGCTGGGGTCCTTCCTTTTTGATGGAAATGCCAGTTTTTCCTGTACTGGTAAGGAACCTGGAGCAAACCATGGATGGTGAGTGTGATGCAGACTTTGGCCTTAAGCAAAATCATTCCTGTGCCAATCCCACTTGCACATTAGGTGAGATCTTTTTTCTGCTTGCACGCTTCCCCATCCCCTGCTCCTGCCAGACACCACTACCCAAGGTAAAAAAAAAAAAGTCTGGGACAGGGCTGGTCTTTGATGGGCACCATAACCCAGAGTTGTATGTGGCCAGAAATGTCCCCATGAGGCTCTGGTTGCAACACTGCACACTACAACAATGATTTCTTTCTTGGTTTTAGATAATAATCTTGTTGGGGCAGGGCACAACGCTTTTTCAGCTTGACATGTTACCGACACCTGAGATGCTGTTTGTGAAAAACAACAGGATGGTTATGAAACAGGGAAACTAAATAAAAGCTAACATGCCTGAGAAAGGGAAGGAAAAAGAGGGTATAAACAAGAGTGACAAATCCTTTCCCTGTCTCTGGTGAGCCCATGGTCCTGGGCCACAAAACCCATGAAAGTTCTTCAGCTCCTGCCATCTCCTCTGGATGTTCCTCCGTGCCCTCCTGTCGTTAGTAGCTCTGCTGTGTTGAGCAGAGCCATCATTCACCTTTTATTCTCCTTTTTAATATCAGCACAACATGTCTCCATATTCCCTTTTCTGGAGATTATATAGCCCATGGGAGGGATAAGCTTGCTCAGAAGATTCACTAGCAGGAAACACCTCTGAGAGTTTGAAATGGCACCAACCACCAGGAAACTTTGCTGTTCTGGTTCCAGCTGCCTTCTCCTACTGACACTTGCACAGCTTCAGACTTTTCTTCCTTTTGCCAGATCCTCCCTGTCTCACCATGGAGCCATGACCAATGGAAATAAATCACAATTTTAAGGAATTTATTTGAATGTTGCTATGAAACAGGTCACGGCGGCCAGCGAGAGGCTCTATTTGTGCAGTCACCCACAGAGGAAAAGACGTTAGTTTTACTTTGAAAAATAACACTTTCATGTGTAAAGGGCATTTTGGTTTGGGTGGAAGGCTGCAGCCACTGAAGGGGAGATGAGCTTCAGTGGGATGTTCACTCAATCACACAGCCTAACCAAGTAAATTTGCAAATTTTCCTTGAGGTTGTTTTGGTGCGTTGTTCAACGGCACATCACACACTGCAGCCAAATGTTCATCCAGGGCTTAGGACTGGATGCATTGTAGGGCAATTAAAAGTAAAATATTACCCTCTCCTCCCTGGGCCACAAGCAAACACGGCTGCGGGTGAAGGCCAGCAGAGGAAGAATGACATCATGAAACCCAAGAGGGAAAGCAAACACCAAGCCAGCACCATGTGCAGGTCAGCCACTGCACCAGGACAGACTTTCCTCTTTGTGACTTTGACTTCTGTGCTCTGTTTGCCCAGCAGACTTTTATTGGGAAAGCTCTCAAGCACAGGTGTGCTATACACCACAGCTCAAGGCAGCAGGATCTGTCTCTCTCCTGCTTTTCCAGTCCTGGTGGTGGCAAATGGAGCACAACATCCTCGCCACCCTGCCCTGATGAAGCAAGTTCCTCCTGAGCCAGCAAAAGGAAATTTAGCCCCGCTCTGCCTGCAGCCCTGTATGGCCAGGGCTTGTCCTCTGGCCCAAGCTGCTCCTGCTGGGGCAGGGCTCATGGCTGGCCACCAAAGTGTGTCCTTAAAGCATGGAAGCAACTCATTTCAGGCAGCAGGACTCCTCTCACAACACAGTGGTGCTAAAAGAACAGCATCTTTTCTTACCATGGCAAGGAAATTACCTGAACCCCATGTAATTTTTAACTTTTTTTTTAAACCTAGGATGGAACAGTGCTGGTGCCAGTCCCAGTGCCACAGATATAACCTCCCTGGATGCATGCCATTCCATGCCCAGCTGCTTAAAGCACAAAGGTTTGCTGCTGTGGGCAGGCTGTACACAGGTAAGGAAACCTCCATGCCTAGATCCTGGTGTCTGGGATGCATTTCAGCAGGGTCACTTGTAGGAATCAGTATTCCATGAAAGTGCTGGTAGGATTGGCCCGAAGTCTCCCAAGCTGCAACATCCCCTGCATTGTCTGCTACCAGCAAAACCAGCTTTTACTGAGTTCCCTTGTTCAGCCCCCCAAAGTAAAGCCAGGGCTGACACCTCTGTGCACACACTGGCTGGTGTGGCTACAAATACACCACTAACAAATACAGAATGCCCTTCAACCAAAATGGCTATAACTTATCATGAGTGCAAAACCTGAACTGGCCAGGACTCGCCAAGCAGTACTATAAAAATTAAACCTTCCTGGCACTACAAGTCCCAGTGCCTGGAACACTTGGTTTTGCAAAGGACCCTCACAACTGGGAATAAACCCCAAAATTTATCAACTTGTTTATTTTTTTTTTCTGTTTTTTGGTAGAAGTAAGTTTCCCATGTTAACAAAAGCAGAATAGTTTTATTTAGTGTTCATCTCACACCTTCGACAGCTGCAGCTGTCAGGCACAGAAGTACAGTATTAAAATAAACTGAACAGAGTTGCTCATTGCAAAAAATCACACTATGCAAACCTGTGGATTGTAACATCAACAGTATAAAATGTAACAAAATTGGAACTTTTAATTTTTTTTTAAGCTTTTAAAGATAATAGTCCAGGCTATAAAACTATATAAGCATTGAATAAGAAATGTTAAAGTCAACAAGTCTACAACAGATACATCTTGTAAAAACTCAATAAATTATATATATATTTATAATATCTAGTAACATTTAAAACCATGCACAGTTTTGTACATTTTCTTTTTTCAGTACAGGAAAACTCTTTGCTTCGAGTACTTGGAATGTACACAATTAGCAGACATTTGTAAGAAAATACCAAAAAATTCTTTTTTTTTTATTCCAACAAAACAAAAATCTATAGAAATCTACCTTCTCAAACTTCCACTGAAGTAACCTCAAACTATAAATTATTTATTTTAGGATAAGGATTCTGTGGCTCTAAGAAGAAAAAAAAAATCTTTAAATGAGATGTTGTCATCCTGTTATTCTGCAACATTGATATGCAATATGCACCAGAGAAAAATGAAAAGAAAGAATTCAGGATGTAATTTGTTTTGCCTCTTCTGGTAGTACATAAAGAACTCATCTGGACAAAAAAAAACCCCACCCACAAAAAATCCTCAGCCCAAACATCCCCCACTGTCAGCTTGATCCACGCTAACATTCTTTAGGTCACTCCTGTGCTTTTACACAGCTATGTGGCATTGAGGAACAAAACAGCACAGCATTCTAAACACCAAAAATCAGGCATCACTGGCACTTTCCAATGTGTTAGATGCAAAAGAAATATGCAGCTGTAGCAGCTCTCCTGCAAACAGTGTCACTATTTTGCTCACATGGCATTTCTGAAGCCCAAAATACAACAGTACTGGCAAAGGGGAGAGAAAAAACCTACCCTGCACCATCCAAAGTCAACATTTCACTTTGCTGCATACTTGTTATTAAATCGACCACAAAGAATACCTTCATTTGAAAATAGAAAAATAAACACCCACACCCCCTTAATGCACAGTGGTTAAACTGATGGAAGAATTCTTGGCCCTGTTTTTCTGAAATATGTAAAAATCATCTCTCTGCTGCTATTTGTTTGGTTTTAACCACTGGTGATGTATTGAAAAATAAACTTACCTTTGCTCACTGCAATCCAGGATAAACTAATATTTTTTTTAATGAATACATATATATATTTATAACATTAAATGTAATTTGTTAAAGGACTGTACATCTATACATTCTTTCAATATTTCCCATAAACACAAAGGAAAAACTTGATTAATATATTTTTTCTCCATTTTTAATAAGTTAAAAGACACCCTTAAGTTTGGTGAAATTTAAAGTTTACAGTAACGCTATGCTATTTAAACCAATGAACAGATATGTTAATGTCTATAAATAACTTTACAAATATACATGTTAAGGTACAATTTTTAAAACAAAACTGTGAAGATACAAAACAAACAATCAAAAACATCTTTTCTTTTGCCCAGATCAGTATATCCTAGATTGCAATGCTCGTATTTTGAGACTCTCTCTCTCAGTACTGCTCTATGTTGCATTAGTATTATACATTCTTTTCTTTTTAATATATTTATTTATATATATACACGATATATTTATAGATATATACACAGATTCTCTGGAATAAACCTTTTTGATATAAGTTAAAGGCTCTTGCCTACAGGTACCCGTAACTTCTTTCTCCAAGTCACTGCATGTAGATGGAGCCAAACCTCTGGCGTCGAGGGGTGGGTGGAGGAGCTGCTCCCCCCACTCACCCTTGGCAAGCAAGAACAGGCAAACCCCAAAAACGAGATTTATTCCTTTTTTTCCCCCCAGCTGGCCGTTCTCAAAGGTCAGTCAGGGTGTGACTTGAGATGCCGTGTGGGCTCCAGGAGCCAGGGCACCCTCTGCTCTCAGGAGGGTGATGCTCTGCTCCCCAGGGACCCCACGGGGTCTCTGCCCATGCCTGGGGTCTGCTCCTGCCTTGGCACGGACCCGTCGCCCCCAGCAAGGGCCAAGGGTGACACTCCAGATGACTTGACCATCTCTTTTTACTATTTTTTACTTTCATTTCTCCATGACAATTTGCATTTTACTTAGCTTTGTTTTCTCTTCTTCCAAAAAGGATTCCTTCTATGTAGCTGGGTAGTACGATCATGAAGCTATAAAAACGACGACAACAAAAATATAGATATTTTTATAAATATATGAATCCCTGCAGGCAACGTGGCTTTTCAGCTCCACCAAAAAGGTTCATGTACAGATTGCATAAGCGAAGAATTTCCACATTCTTAACGTTCTTTTCTTTTTTGCGTGTGTTTCTTTTTTTTTTTTTTAAAGGAAGATTTCTTTTTCTCTTTTCTTCGTATTGCAGGCACAGAACGGTTACTGTGGCACTCAGAACACAAGTGTGGAGGCTGGGAGGTCAGCACCCCCCAGGTTCAACATTCTGCGTAGTAAAGAAAAAATCCCTAACAAAATGGAAAGTAAACAAAAAAACCAAAGCAAACAAAAAAATCATCTAGGATAGATCATCTTGGCAAGAGATTAGTTCCTTCAGGCCAAACAGTGCTTCTTGACTTTTCATACAGCAATATGTTTAAAAAAAATTAAAAAAAAAAGTATAAAAAAAAAAGGTACGCTTTTTTTCTTTTCTTTTTTTTTTTTTTTTTTAAACCCTGAACAGCTTGTCAACAACACAAATCTCCAGGCACCATCACACAGTTCCACTGGAAGATCCTTCAGTACGGTTTCACGCTCGGTGCCCTGCGCTCGCGCCTCCACGGGCACACTGCCCACCCGCCCGTCCGTCTGTCTGTCTGTCCGTGTGCCCTGGGGGTCCTCACGTCCGGATGACGCCGTTGCAGGGCGGGTGCTTGGGCAGGCAGGGCTCATCGGGCAGCAGGTCATGTGCAAAGACCGAGTCGTCCCCTGAGGAGCAGGTGCTGTGGGTGTCCTGGCCGGCCGGCGAGTACTGCTCGAAGGGCACCGAGAGGTCCAGGTACTCCTGCCAGGGTGACAGAGCCATCAGTGCTGGGTGTCCCCCGTGCCAGGGACCAGGTGACCCCCTCCCAGCCCAGCCCACCACACTCACGTCGGTGGATGTCACAGTGAGGACCCTGTCCAGGTCTTCCACCAGCTGCTTGAAGGTGGGTCGCTGCGAGGGGACGGCGTGCCAGCACTCCCGCATGATCATGTACCTGCGCATGTGACATGGGACAGTCACATGTTGGTCAGGCCAAGTGACACCTGCCCACCCATCTCCAAATCGCCAAGCGTTAAGCAGAGCCGTCATTCACCCTTTATTCTCCTTTTTAATACACAACACATCTCCATACTCCCTTTTCTGGAGATTACATAGCCTGAGCAGCCTGGAGCAAACCATGGATGGTGAGTGTGATGCAGACTTTGGCCTTAAGCAAAATCATTCCTGTGCCAATCCCACTTGCACATTAGGTGAGATATCTTTCTTCTGCTTGCATGTTTCCCCATCCCCTGCTCCTGCCAGACACCACCACCCAAGGAAACCCACCCATCTCCAAATCACTGAAAGAACAGCTGTGGCCAATGCAACTTCAGCCAAGGCCAGCCGGCGGGGAGAGCAGGGTTTTGTGGAGCCATGGTCCTCATTACTGATCATCTGACACATGACCATGCCCTCAGAGCACAAGGAGGAGCTGTCCTGATGGTGACACACCAGAGCTACACCCCCAGGTGCCACATGCCCAGCAAGGGGAGGTGCTGCAGGTCACTCAGCAGCCTTGGGCTGAAGAAAGCCTACCTGGAGATGGCCACACAATTTCCCAGTGGTGGTGTCCCAACAGCCCAGACCCCAGAGCCCAGCAGGGTGTATTTGGCCTCAGAAGGAACAGGGAGTGCAGCAAGGTCAGCCCCCACCAACACTCACAAATCATGGGTGCAGTTTGCAGGTTTGTCCATCCGATGGCCTTCCTTCAAGAGCTTGAAGAGTTCCTCAACGGGAATTCCTGGGTATGGAGACCCTCCCAAAGTGAAGATCTCCCATAGTAGCACTCCAAAAGACCAGCTGGAAACCAAAGAAAGATCTTTAAAATTCAATGAGGTTTTTTTTTCCAAGCCCCCCCATTTCCCATCCCCCTTGCTCGGCTTTATTTCTGTGCAGCCATGCATAGCTAACAAAGTCATCAATAGCATGACTAATTGCCTAGGCCATTTTTACTAGTTACTTGGAGATCTCTGCTGATCCAACTCAATAGCAAAGAAATCCCAGGCACCAAGTCTGAAATTGAAATGAGCATTTAATCAGATAGGTGACAGCCCATCTATCACCGCCAGCTCTTTGTTAGGTCTTCCACCAGCTCCACTGAATGGAACAAATCAAATTATTCATGCACGGCTTCACTGAATTGCAGGCT